ATTGCGGAAATGCAGTTGAGAATGCTGAACATTTTTTCTTTAAATGCCCGAGTTATCAAACGCAAAGAATAACACTCTTTACAGAAACTAGGACGTTCCACCCACTGAATACAAATCTACTGTTACTTGGTAGTGATAGCCTAGCATCGAAAGATAATGAAGTTATATTTACTGCTGTCCATAAATTTATTAAAAATACAAATCGATTCACTTATACCTAAACATTAAACCTTTATTGTAATCAGTTATAAATGTACTTAGAATATTATATAAGAAGTAATTACAAATACCCAGTACCCAATATAAAGTAAATGCACATAACAGCCTTAACGAAACCCGTGACACTTAGGGGTAGGGGGTGGGGGGTAGGTTATACTGAATCCTTAGATCATCCATATTATAAATTTATAAAATACACGAACGTTGATTTCTATCTGTTCGATTACTTTATTGTATATTGTTAAAAATCGTTTCTTACGATTCATTCCATCAGCAATTATACATGATATACACTATGTTTATGTTATATGCCATTAAGTATTGAATATAGTTTTTTCGTTTCATTATTTACCGGGGAGGGCCGACCGCTAATGTTGTAAGAACTTGGGCCCAACCCGTTTGCTTTTGCTGTTTGAAATACATATGAAATTTGTATCTGTATTGTATATACATGTATATAGCAATAAAATATGATTAAACAGTTATGCTCCACTCAGGTGAAAAATTAGGTATGAAAAATAACAAAGGGCAATAACTCAAAAATTATGAAAGGTAGAGTTATCATTCTTGTGCACTGCACACCTCCTGAGTGAGATCTATGCACCTATGAAGTTTCATGTTAATATCTCATAGGCTTTTGGAGTTATGCTCTGGACAAAAATCAATTTTGAAAAATAACAAAGGGCAATAACTCAAAAATCATGCAAGGTAGAGTTATCATTCTTGTGCATTGCACTCCTCCTTAATGAGGTCTATCCACCTATGAAGTTTCAAGTTGATAACTCAAATACTTTTAGAGATATCCTCCGGACAAAAATGTCGGACGGAAGGACGGAAGGTCGGACGGACGGACGGAGACTATTTCTATATCCTCCGCCGAAAATTTTCGGCGGGGGATAAAAATAATAGTAAATAGTCTGAAGAAAAGGTGGCTTGTGCATGCATACTATTCGCTCTCCTAAAACTTAAATACAAGAAAAAAAGTAAATTTTCCCCAAACAATATAACATTTTCGCAGGAAAGCTAATAGATACACACCTGTTCAGCAACATGTGTACGCGGTAGAACTAAATCAGGGGGTCAAACGTATAGCGTTGCGATACTTTTTTAAACGAGATGAAATCGTGTGATACGGAATTATGGCGGACTTTAGACTATAAACGCACGCCAGAGTGTGTATATTTTATAGTTACTGTAGTATAGTTATAAAAGTAACAGTCATTGACTATTAAAATTGCAAATTTTATGTGGAGGAAATGGGACTCTGATCCACATGTATTTCCTCGAAATCATAGAAGTTTAAGCACAAAAGTTAAAAACTTATTGAAGTTAAATAGGCAGTAACTGATTTTGTGTCCACGACGAAGTCATAGAATTAAAGCCAATATTGAATGTTAGATGCTATTTCTACTTGAAACTTACGAAAATACTCATTTTTGAGCTGTATAGCAAAAAATTACTGTGCAAAGATATATATTTACGCATTGTAGTCAAAAAATGTATGTGTACGATGGGTTTTGGTACGATAAGATGACTGTATGCCAAAAACGTCCGCAAATTTGACAGTGCTAATAGCTACTTAAATATATACCATAAATAATCTTCTTTTTTTTTCTTTTTTTTTGGGGGGGGGGGGGGTTACTGATTACTGACGGCATTCACCATGCTTACAATTGTAAGCACTTACATAATTTCGTCACCTTTATTTCAAACATTACCTTCCCTTTGATCTCTGATACCTGATAAATGGTTTTATTCATACTGAGATTTTATCTCTATTTTATTACTGAAAAATAACTTCGAATTATATGCTTTTTATTGGAGTGCAAAACAGATTTTTAATTAGACAATCTAAATTTCACTTCCATTGCTCATGTCTGACACCATTTCTCCTTCGTACAGAATGGTAAAATATTTATTATAACTGAATTTATATCCTTCTTTACTAAATAGTTTTTTTAAAATATTTCAGTTAATTTTGAGGCATTTAGGATAATGTAACGAAAATGGGAGTGCAATCTGTTAGAATGTGTTACAAGGTTGATATTCCTTTGTTAGTTTAAGGACATACCAAGGGCATGCTACTTAGTTAATCAAAAGAAAGAACTCTATAGTTTTGACATTAGACAAACATCTCAAACAATACTGAACATAAATACAAGGGAGAGAATGTGTACAATGTATAATTATCCGTTTTGGATAGTTTTCAGTTCGATTGTTGTGATGCTACAACTCCGATTGTTCTTCGTATATACTTTAATTTAAATGCTACACACTTATGTTAATTCAGTCACATTTTACACTTGAAATAAATTAATCCTCTGGTTGGTGTTTTTATAAATCATTCTTATAAAATCTTAATCATGTATAATGTTTTCTAGCTGACTTCTGGAATTCCGGGTGAAAATGTCCTTCCCTGCTAAATATTATACTATATTTTTTAAGATCTTCCACAATCAGGTTAAAACATATAGTAGGCCAATATATACTGCCATGTTTGTCTAACGGATCCTTCGTTAACTTGGGCATTTCAAACACGTTCCACCATCTTCAGTATGAAGCTGTGTCTAGATTTACGCTATTTTCACATACACGCACACCACAACTATTTTACTGAAAATAAACACATATCGATTAAGAAAGTATTCTAAATTTCACTGTATCATTAACACTGAATTAGAAATTCCTTATATATCCATTTTCAAAATGATATGACTGTACACCTAATTTAACTATGCTATAGTTAACTGTTCACCATACCAGTAACTAATTGTTAATGCGTAGTGAACAGATATCAATTGATCAGACGATCATGAAAACGCATCGAAAGGAACAAAAATATTGGCGTACAGTTAGTTTATCGGACCAGTTATCATGCGTACAGTAAGAAACACGGAAATATTGTAGATATATGCGAAATAGATAGTTAAATCTTTTCGTGTATTCTGTTTGCTATTTATAGTTGCTATAACAAATCAAATATCTGTTCTATAACGTCTGTTATTGTTTTTTTGTTCTGTAAGTATATCAGGTTGCCGGTGACATTTGAAGTAGCAAATACCTCTATCACTTTCACCTTACAATGAAATAGATTCTTTTATATAGACCATCATATACAAATATATCTTCCGCTAAGCATGCACTATATTATTCGAACAAAAAATAAAAATACAACAAATATCTTAAGCAAACTGGTTCTTACCAACATTATTTGTCACTTTCCGCCACCATTTTTCTGTATTGCCATATTTAACATCCCTTAAAAATAAGGCACGGCTATACGTTCTCCCCCCGTAAAGTTTTAGCTATGTCGAATATAATCTGAAACAAGAATTTTATTGACAAAGCCTGTGTCAAAAATTCGCCCTTGACCTCAATCATGTGATATTACATACTCGTAACAGCATTTATATGTTTTATCATAATTTTGGACATAAATATGTAAACCAAAATATTCCACCTTCGAAATAGCTTTGGTAGTTTAGCACGGATGAAGGTAGTCTAGTACTGGTGTAACTCTCCAGGAACGATGGTTAGGAAACTTCCCGCCTATATGACCGAAAAACTGTTGGGAAAAGGCGTAAAATGAAACAAACAAACAAACAAACCTTCGAAATAACATTCAACGATTTCTACAGTCAAGAAAGTACAATAATCGATTCATAGTAATGTTGCGGTACCATTTAAGTACACCTTTCTTTGTATCTAGAATTGGCAATACAAAATCAGTTACGGGTAGAAACTCTTTAAAGCAGAGTGCCTCCAGATTCATGTTATTTTTTATGAAAGTTTTGAAAATGTTATTAAAATAAAACTGTTGTAAATGGAGCAAAGAATGTGATTTTGACATTGTTTACGGAACTTAAAATCCACGTAGCAAATATGCAAGAATAGACATAACTGTTATAGCTACGTGGCAGAAATGTCGCAATGTATGATGCAAAATCAATCGAACTTACCATGTAAATGTTTGCTTTAATTCCGAATGTGTTTACTTTCTTAAGATATTAGTACATTTTTGATTTACTTTAAATATTTTGCCTCATCTGGGGTCATGCAGCTTTAAGATCAGATATGAAGAGATGACTTTTCTGCTATCATATACAAAAATTACAAAATAAATGTTTTTTTGTGGATTGTTATATCTAAAATGCTGTTTTACATTTAGAAATATTGATAAAAAATGTTTTCAAGCGTACTCTTAGAGAACCATATTTCCGAATTTGTACTAAAAGAGGTCTTTCAAATTTTAATTGACAATATTCAGTTCACGAGGTCGGTATATATTTGCATATAAATATTTTTTTATGTAAGGCCTTAATTTTGTTACTTCGTTATAAATATCTTTAGAGTTTTTCCCAACATTTGACTTTTGCTGGTTTTATGTTTAACCGAAAAAAACAACAAACAAACAACAATTATACCCATCGTATTCCTAGGTTACTGCAAACAAAATGTCAACTTCCTTTTTAATTGTTCATGGAAATATTGACAGGAGTGAGATGTTACTTTTGTTCAAAATTGAACCCTTCTTTCGATAGAAAATGTCAAATGCTATTTTGTAAATGTTGACATGTACATGCAGATGTTGTATTGTCTTAACTGTAAAGAGCAAATTAAACGCACACTTTATATCTATATGTGAACATATTTTTATCATCTAGTCTACCAAATTGTTAATTTTTTGCAATTCACATACATTTGAAAATTACAATATATAGTGATTGCATAAAAATAACAGCACTGTAAACACTATATACATGTTTCTATATATTGAACAGTACATTTATAGAAGAATGGACTATTTTGAAAGGATATTTGAAAAAAATGAAACCCAAATAAAGCGAACGTAAGTAACATTAAATATGATTTAGTGATATGTTTGTAATTTTGATGAAACACAAACTAACACACAAATTAAGAAGTTATCGACATAAAAAAGTTAATTATATATACATAAATGATAATGTTTGCGAAAACAAGAAAAATAAATATCAAATATATATTTGATATACTTCATATACCGAGTTAATGACTTAGGTTTATATTTTATTTGTTCGGGAATTTGGGGATGGGAGTGTGTTTTTGGCGTTTTCGCCACACTAACACAGATGTCATATTGCAATTTTCCAATTTTACTGGTGAGCGAAGATTTTAGTTGCCCTTATGTGCATTATAGCAAGACAAGAGTGGAGTAGAATCACCGACATTCCGGATAGCTTCCTCACAGCCGTAAGCTAGCTTGAAAGCTTCCTCACAGGAAAAAATCCAAAGTCCATTGCGGGATTAGAACCCATAGCGTTAAGGGGCAAATGGTTTCAAGCCAACAACCTAAACCAGTCGGCCACTGACTGTGTTTTTATTACTTTCTTTTGAAGGAACCTATATTAACGAAATAACAATATATCATCATTAAAATCACTTCTACGGTTATAAATGCGTTATCTCTCATTCTAGTGTGATTTCAATCAAACTTGAATTTATACTGTGATAATTTATGCCAAATATCGGTGAACCTGTAAAGAGTAGAACATTAAAGGAAACATGGTTAATTAACAAACTGTCACTGATTGTGAGATTATTTTACATTCAAAGTTGATCAGGTATCAAAGCATCTAATCAAGTGTAGTCTATTTACTTTTCACAAATAGCATACTTGAACAATTCATATTGCTGAATCTTTAATTTGCACTTAGCATCTTAGAAAATGATGATACAATACAAATTATTCAAGTTCAGATTTTTGCACTTTCTGCATTGAATTTAATGTAATGGATGCATAATTTGAGCCGCGTCATGACAAAACCAACATAATGCGTTTGCGACCAGCATGGATCCAACCCAGCCTGCGCATCCGCACAGTCTGATCAGGATCCATGCTGTTCGCTATCAGTTTCTCTACTTGTTATACGGTTCGTAAGCGAACAGCATGGATCCTGATCAGACTGCGCGGATGCGCAGGCTGGTCAGGATCCATGCTGGTCGCAAAGCCATTATGTTGGTTTTGTCATGACACGGCTCATTTATTTTATAAATTATAAAAACAAACATATAATTCTTGCTTATTTTGTCTCACCTTTTGAGCTAATTTGCCATCTTTGTTGTTTATCCTTTTGAATTTTTCGAGTAAATATTACATTATTTTCTTTGAGTAAATAATCAGTTTATAAAATGATAAAAATAGGTTTCCATTTTGCTAGCTTAATGATAATTAAATCATGAGGGTAAATATGAATATATACAAATAATATGCTGTTAGAGCGGACGAAATTGTCAGAAATCATCCGATAATACATGTATATTCGAGAAATAAGTTATTGCTCGATTAAATATGTTGGTCTTATTACATGACTTTTTCAAATTATACAGAATTATATGGAAATAAAATGCGCTTACTGCCTCTGTATATAGAAATAATTGTCATAACATGTTAATGAATTAACTTGAGAACTCATGATGGAAACGCACAATACTGTTTGAATATAATCATAATAACCAAGAGAAATATTGTTGTTGAACAATTGATATAATTTCTTTTCAGTGCCGCTCTTTTAAATGACAGCGTTCGGAAAGTTCTTGAAACACTTTTAGGGTTAAAAGCACCGGTGGAGCAGATGGCGAATCAGTCAAAGGCTGCTTATGATCATTTGCAACATTTACAACAGCTCTGTAAAGATGAAGAATGTTTATTAAAAGAATGGCAACGCAATTTGAAAGAGAGTGTTCCTTTGTCTAAAGAGGAGACAAAGCAAAAAGAAGAAGCTGAGGATGCTGATATTAAGGGTGACAAAATACAGTTTTCAGGAACACAACCCGACAAAAAAAGAATATATGACGATTTGGGTACATCTGAGATTTTGACACAAGACAAGATAAGACCTTCAGAGATCCATTTATGGCACGCAAAGGATATGGCTTTGAAAGAGTATGATGGTATGTATTAAAATGTAGTACAATTTTACATTTACCGACATTGACAAAACATGTTTTAACAAAAAGAAAAAGAATGAACTTTCATAATTATAATAGATATAATAGTAATAGAATTACTATTCAATCGGTTGGTTTGTTTAAAATTTGTATGATATTAGAATAATTACAGCTTATTTGGTATTATGTCTGTACTACAGCACTGGTTAAATAAAATATAATATAACGATACAGTGTTTAAATACGTCAGTGCCATTATTTTATCCACTAGTATTTTGGGAAGCGCATATAGTTTGGACAGCGCCCGTTCTTCCTCTCGTCCGTCTGTCCACACTTTAAGAACGGTTTATAATTTTGTCAGTTATAGATGCATTTTAAAATAAATAATTCTGCAACGATATGAAGTTGATTGAGATTGTAACGCGCAGAACGCTGTACCTTGAATATAATGTAACACAACACATTGTCAAAAAAAACTTGCCGTAAAATCGTACCTTGAGTCGTTCCCGGTCAAAACTCAACTATGTCATTTCTTGATTGATTAAATATCTATGCGTAAATTGTTTGACATATGTCGTGCACAATACTATGTCTCTACCTTAAAAAACTCACGGTTACTTTTGATCGATAAAGTCATGATATGAATTTTCATAAAAGATTATTGATAAATAAGTAAATAAATGACAATTCGCAACGTATGTGTAGAGTAAGGTCTCTTGCTTAAAAACCAATGTCACACTTGTTACTCCAAATTTACGATATGGAATTAATAATAAAGTGCATGGCTTGTGATGTTATGGCAACAATTTTGTCACTCCTAGATGGATTCAAAAAATAATTTGCTATTAATATGTTACACATCTTGACACCATGTTGCGCGAGAATCAGGTGTCGCGCTCAGAGTTCAAGGTCACATAATATGACGTTTTCATAATAGTGTACTGATGGTCTTGCCAGATCAGTTATTTTCAGGATTATAATCATTTGGCATAAATGTACCGGATAATCGGATATCATGACATTGTGTCGCGCAATTTTTTTAGCAATTTTACGCCCATACAGTTAAAGTAATACATCCAAAGTCTTAATATGACATTGAATAGTTGGGCGTGTCTGTTGCATGACTTTGTGTCCATACCACGTAACTTTGCGGGTACGGTTCATACAGACTTTTCATCGATTCAGGTATGTTTTGATCAATAACTTTGCTGATTCACGGTAAGTTGAAAACCCCTGAATGGTTTTGAGTACAGTTTTGTTTTTATAGGCAGGACTGAGAGGAACGGTACACACTCATTTATCATAACAAGCGATTTCTAGCAAGTCGTCCGTTCTTTTTCAGTTTTCCTTAAAAAAAATGTGAAATCTTACAGATTTACTATGTCAAATTTATCTAGTGAAATGCTTGAAATCGCTTGTTGTGATAAATGAGTGTGTACCGTTCCACTCGGCCCGACTAACTGTACTCGAATGTTCTCAAAAACCATTCAGGGGTTTTCAAAATTTTGATTAAAAAAAGCTAATATAATTACGGGTACTCTACGCCTTAGCTGAACAAAGTCGGTTGAGTAACATCAAAGTTACTAATAAAAAAATACTTGAATCGGCGAAAAGTCTGTACAATAAGTCACGTGGAACATGTAGTTCTAAATTGTTTGTTATTCATGAAGGATTTTTGAATAATTTTGGCGCACGCTAAAACAATATTTGAAGACTTAAAACGAGGTCGCACTAATACTTGAACAATTTAAAATTGAAATTTATCCATGTACATGTCCGATTTACAACCCTGTCAATTATTGAGGGATTCCATAAGTATGTTTCATTTTAAGTCGATTAAAATTAGATCTTCAGCTCAAAGGTCAACGTCACACATGTTCGCCAAAAGCCTTGATCAATAAGACCTTTCACGAGCAATTGCAAGTTTGACATTAAAAAGGTGATGGTAATACATGTACTTGGATTTGAAAACAGTTCATTAGTTGTTGTGTATGGAAATGGTTCGTCAATTCATCAAATATTCACGGATGTCTCTTGAATTAATTGAGTAAACTGGTAAAATAGAAACCGTTCTGTTTCTTGAAGTCAAAGGTAATGTTCCTTTACTTTAGATAAGCTTCCGGGGACATTTATCTGTTTATAATATGTGTTGTTGTTATGTCAATTTACAGAAAAAACACAGCAAACCTTGACAGAAATGCTCCGACCAGGTCCTGCATTGCTAGTTGAAAGTACTGACCTAAAATTTGATGAACAGACAATCAAATCTCACTATAATATATTGGTTTCCGATCAACTTTTTGAGGTTAGTTGCATGATGTTTTGTATGATATTATGATGTAATATTTTATGATATTATAATTATTATTGAAAATGAGTTGATTCTTACCTTCTATTATTAACACAACGAACACTTGAGATCTCGACCCCTAAGATATTTCGACGCATGACACTTAGACCCCTAAGAGACTTTAAATTGACTTGAAATTTCGAAAACCTTATTATATAAAGAAAATGAAGCCGTTACTTTCGAAAAAAAAAGAATGTGGATAAAGACGTGTAACATTTTATTAGAAAAAGGTGTCTTTATAACTTTGATTATTATATATCATTAAATAGATATACTTAATTATAAGTGAAATCATATCGAGTGGTTATTTGTTATTCGTAACCATTCTTCAAGTCAAATAATGTATACAAGGAACAGTAACACATTTAAACAGAAAATATATTAGGTATATTTGTATACATATTATCATAAAAACAGTAATTAAAATATATATTTTAAACGTTTTATTTTTTAATTGTAATTCACTTTTAGTCTAAACAAATATTGTCATTATCTCCATGTGCACTTGTTACTTTCAGTATATAGAACTTCAAATATCAGGAAATCTTAAGCTAATTGGTTCTTATACTATATTTTAAAAATACATGTATGAGTTAAACATAAAAAGGTATACTATCAGAAACTGAATGTCTTACATCATGTTTTATTACACATTTTTTATGCCTCGGATATTTATGAACTAAATGTGAAAGTAATAAAATGGCCATAAGAAAAACGCTTTTAAGTAAAAAAAAATAAAAAATGAAATCCATTACTGGCACTGAATACATGTACAAAATCAAAAATTCTCTAATACCATATACCAGTACAGTATTTATTTATCTCATGCTTTATTTGACCACCATCATTTAATGTATGGCAATGAATATGTAATATGTTTAAATGCTAATTAAATAATTGAATTAAAAGTAACGCACAACAATGCCTTTCCCAATTAGAAAACCCCGTTAAAATGAAAACAACTACTGTTTAATTAGCACTGTAATAATTTTGGTGATTCGCAGGATAATTTAAATAGGTGTTAAATACAGATAATTAAATCACAAATGACACTTTTCTGATGTTTATTTGGCACGCATTTTCACACGTGAAAACATAAAGATTGTTTTGAAATAACACCGAATAATTGATTGATTGGTATTTTGGTTTTTAATTCATAATGTAAATATAATAAACATGAAATTATCGCATCATCGAACTACAGACAAGTCAATAAATATGTAACATTGATTAAAAGAAATGTAAAATTATTTATATATATTATATATTATTTTTAACATACAAAACATGTGTTTCATACCGAAAACAATAAGTCTTTACAAACTTATAAAAATTATAGAATAAACACGCAATGCACAAATCGCGCAAAAAAACAACATATTATTACTGTTATTTTGTAATTGCAGCCAATGCTACATAACTATTGTTTTGCTAAGCAACACAACATTATAATATAAATCGAAAACAATGTTGCTTTATTGCTTTACCTTAAGTTTATAATATTTTGTTATGAAAATAATTAGAAGATTTGCTATTTGATTAAATTATTTCTCGAATATCTTAGCTTCTAAAGTACAAAAGTTTATATAAGGGTCGAAATGTCTTACACAATAGGAGTCGAAACGTCATGTAAAAAGGGGTCTAAGTGTCAAGGGGTCTAGAAGTCATCATAATATCCTTAAGATTAGAGAAGTCAATGGGGTCTAAGTGTCTTACTTGCCCTTGACCTTTAAATATTAAATTTAGCTTAGATTGTCATAACTTTGTCATTTGTTTACACAAATTTAACTTAAACAAAAGAAACGTTTTTGCCATTTTATGTATGTTCAATGATTGAAAGACCTTTACATTTAAGACATTAAACTGACCTTAACCGTCAAGGTCATATTGTTGAAACTTGCTTTAATTGTCGAATTTTGCTATTTAATTACAAATTTGACTTTGAGAAAAAAACATCTATGACAAAACCGACATGTTCAATTATTCTGATATGACTTTGACGTTAAATTAAAAATTACTTTAAAGGTCCTATTATTTGCTTGAATTGTCACAACTTTTTTTATAGATTTATACTTTTACAAACAAGGGTGCCATAGTCACAAAATACGCCCGTTTACGAAAGCTTTAGATGGAGATGGGGGCATTATGGATAAGTGTTATCTAGCAAGCAAGTTTTTATTCTTGGCACTGTGTTGTTAAATGAACCTTAAAACAAATCAGTAGGGAATATATGCACAGGATGTGTGACCTTGACCTTGGTCGCAGGGACCTGAATTTTATGCACGGCACTCAGTCCTACAATGAAGAACATTTGTGCCAAATTATATTGAAATCCCTCTATGCATGTAGAAGTTTTGCTCCAGACAAGCGTTTTTCTATGACCTGAATTTTGTGCGCGACACTTTGCAATGAGCTCTAAGTGTGACCTTGACCTTTGACCTAGAGACCTAGTTTATGTGCGTGACATGGCTTGTCATAATGGTGAACATTTCTATGAAATTTCATTAAAATCCCTCCATGCGTGTAGGAGATATGCTCCGGACAAAATCTGGATATTTCATCATCTTTAGTGACATTGACCTTGTATATATTGACCTAAATTATATGTATCACAGCCATAGTCTTGATAATGACCATTTGTGTTACAATCCCTCAATAAATGATGACTAAATGGTCCATATACACACATATTTTTATTAGAACTTTGACCTCTATGTGTGACCTTGACCTTGGCCGCAAGGACCTGAATCTTGCGTGCGACACTTCGCCTTACAATGGTGAACATTTGTGCCATGTAATATTGAAATCCCTCTATACATGTGGAAGTTTTGCTCCGGACAAGCATTTTTCAATGAGCTCTAAGTGTGACCTTGACCTTTGACCTAGAGACCTGGTTCATGTGCGCCACACTGCTCTTCATAGTGGTGAACATTTCTGTGAAGTTTCATTAAAATCCCTCCATACATGTAGGAGATATGCTCCGGACAAAATTGGACTCCCCGCCTGCCCACCCGACCGCCCGCCCGCCAGGGGCGTTCCCATAATACGTCCCGTTTTTCAAACGGGCGTATAAAAAGGACAAACGACAAGACCGACAAGTTTAATGATTCAAATATAATTCTGACATTGAAATGACATTGATAATTGACATAAAATTATTAAATTTTGAATAACTTGTTAAAATGATTTACAAATTTGATAGATAGTTGAACAATTTATTGTTTTACTGAACTGACAAGCTAAAAGATATGAATTTGACCTATAAGTAGCCTTGACCATTAATTGTTACAACAGTTACTATGTTTCTGATTTGCTTGAACATAGAGCTGATATGATGATTAACTAAATCTGACCTTGATCTCTGAAGAACCTTGACAGTAAACATCTTATTATCAAATTTTGCTTAAATTGTTATAAAAATAATTATTATCTATTATCATGGGCAGATTTGATTGATACTGCATAACAATATCAACATAAAGAAAAAATTAAGTGTTGCATTGATATGTCAATTGTCTTGCAATTGTTTATTGTCAATTTTTAAATGTGAATTATATATTGACCAAACATTCAGTTTACTCTGAATAATTTTTACTACAATATTCTTCCTAAAATATGTTAAACAAGCGTTGCACGTGCTAAGCGCTGAATTATTTTCAGGTCATTGTTTTAAAATAAAAACATTGAATAAGAACATTGATGAAATCAATGTTCAAAAGTTTCCCTGTGAAGATAACATTATAAGCCTAAATCTATATTTTTTCCGTTTTTATTTCATTTGTCATAAAAATCTAATTTTCTTTAATTAATTTATATTGAAAGAAATTTGCCTTTATTGCTTTTTGGGTATTTATAGGTCTCTCTGTGAAATAAGTCCTACAGTATTTATCCATTTATAAGGAACAACAAAATTTGTACATCAATAACGATGTCATCAGAATACCTACTATCCTCACAATTTTGAAAGGTTAGGAAAATAATTAAATGAACTGTTTGCTTGTGTCTTAAAACTTTTTCTCGACTGTTCTGATGTGTTTTATCTCCATAGCGGGGAATAGACCCAATAGTTAAAAAGCTAAAACATGTACGGCAATGTCTTTTTTATAGTTCTCGGGCAACATATTAAGTATTACAGTAACTGTCATTGTCATATAATTAAAGTAAGATATTATACAATTATGAAATTATTCATTAAACTTATTAGTAAATGTTATATTATAGTTGTTAATAAGGTACATGTATTATTGAATCAAAAGTTTGGTTAAAGAATATATTATTAATCTGTGCGGGTAATCAAATAATCTCGTGTTTGGTTTACCAGACGTTTCAGTCAACCTAGCATAAAACTATACATAATTATACTGTCTTGCATTGCCAATGCTGACACATGTTATACTACCTGTCTCAACATCTTTTATTACGTATTACTGACCTCTTTAATTTGTAGAAACCTTTTAACATAAAACAAATATATAGAAATATTCCTGTTACTTAACTGACAGGGGTTGGCCTCCCAACATTTGAAAATTTTGAAAACTCAATTTATTATAATTTCCCCCCATTCATGCCTATAAAACTATGAAAGGAGTTTCATTTAAATTTATATTTTTCGGATATAATTTTCTTACACTATTTAAAAATAAATTATTGTTTATAATGGTATTTGCTTCATAGTTCTATATCAATTTCGTAATTAATTTTATTAAATTTCGTTTTTATTTATTCTGCTATTATTTTAATTTAAAAAATACATGTAGATGCAAAGAGTTTCCTTTATATTCTCTGAATTAGCCTTACCCCAAGTTTTATCAGTTTCAGCATTGCGATTTTTAGACATGGTGTTATATTTTGATCCAATCGTAACTGTTCGACCCTTTCCATTAGTCTTCGAATATGGACCTCGAACACAACAGACTTGACGGATAGCTATTTCGGTCTTACTTACTCTAAGAAACTAAACACGAAACAAACAGTAATTTGATACTGGGAGATATTGACTAAATTTTTCCAATAAATCGAGTTAACGTCTAACTACATTAGGTACATTTATAGATATAAAAGTAGAAAGTACATTATTTATGTTCTTATAAGTATGGTTGTGTTGTAGAAACCGAGAGTACAAAATAAACATTCATTCGGATTTGTTCATAAGTCTACATCAGTACCGATTATGATTCTTAGACATATTTTCAATCATAATTCTATGGCAGAAATATACCTACCTTTGGATGTCAAATATATACATTTGTTATACCTTATCAAAAGACTAACCCTCTGTTTTTGTTAACATTCTTAACTACCGTGGTAGAACTACGTCCCCCAATCCGTATTAAGTTCCCCCGAGGTTAATTATTGAAATAAGCCGAGCTGTTCCGATTGATATTGATCTAAATTGACTTTTTGCATTTTTATTTGTAACTTCTCAAAGCATAGATGACGGTTAGAATTTAAGATTAAGCATGTGTAAAAACATTTGCTGAAATTGTCTTTTTGTCTGTTTTGTTGGGTTTTATATCACACAAACACAGTAAATGGCCACAAGTTTTGCAGGCAGCGACCGTAACCACATATTCCCTCTTTATTGTCTGATTTATAAAGATTTACTAATTCAAAATTATATTATACTATTTTTCACTATGAAAATAAAGATTTTTTATGTCAAAAGAAAGTATTTAGATTCCACCTTTCATATTCAGATTATTTAATTGTTTACAAAAGAACTAAATTTTCTATTCTATAACCTGAAGTTATTTTGGAATACTTCTATTTAATATAATTATCTTTAATTAATTATTATAATAATTTTCAAAATCTACTGATGGGTAAATAAAAATATTCAAATCTCTGCAAATCATCCCATTATTAGAACCATTGCATATTTTTCCCGAGTGATTCAGGGCTTTATTAGTAATATTAAAACAGAGAAGAAAAATAGCAGATACTAAAGAAGCATATTGACTTTTCACAACATATCTTTTGAAGATATTCAATCCATACATCGATTAAATGCAGCTTTTCCTTGTATAAATAATATGTTTTCTGAAATTCCTACTTTAGTTAATATCCATAGATATGTGTATTATCTTACTTCAGCGTGACGCAATTATTGTGGAAGACATTGAGGCGTTCTTGTCAGAGTTAACTTCCAATCGTGAAACGAAACTGATTGAGGATCCTAAACTACAAAGTAAAACAGAACAAGCATCAAGAGTATTCCTAAAGCAGCCAAGTGCAGATGAACTAAAACGCAGTATGTCTCTTAAACTACATAAGGAAAAAGACCGAGAAGAGAGCAGACCTATCATAGATTATGACGAAAATGTTTGGATGTCTTCACAACTACCTATCAAAAGTCAAGACAAACAGATTTCGACTGCGTCTTTACAACAGCGAGGTAAAATTTTGTTGATTAAAAATCTATTCAACAGCTTTCAAATTAAAAGTGATTTTATTTTCAATTTTTTTTTTTTGTGTACATTATTTTGTCTTTACAATCGTTTAAATAGAATTGTTAAAACAACTTTTTGATTTATTTATTAAACATGTTGTTTCCGTAACTTTTGTCTTTCTTTCATATAAAGTATTTATTTAATATTATCTAACTTTTAAGGCAAACATATAAAATAGTATTTCTGCCCACTTTGAACTCAATTAAAACTATTCTTTAACATTTCTATCATGCATTCCATTGGACATTGAATTGTGATTTTAATGTAAAGCTATTTGTATGTAAAACTATTTAGTCGTGTGAAAACAAATTCAGAAAAAATTCAATTTGTTCCCACTCACCAAATATTATTTAATTGAATTAGTTCATAATCAAATCGACAAAATGAGGTCATTTTACATGTTTTAGTATACAGCATTGTATCGTAGATACAAGATTGCAATTAATCATTCACAGTTTAGATTTGCTATAATATTTCTATAAGCTGTCAACGGTATATATTTCTTGAAAATATACACAAAGTGCTTACAAGTGGTTATTTTGATCACACGAAATAGCATTTCCTCCTTAACAACATACATTTGACTAATGTCAATAAGATTTTTTAAAAGGTGACCCTCTACAAAGGTTATGTAAAAAAAATCCAGGCTTATGCTCTCCACAACCACTGAAACGCTACAATTATATTTTAAAACGAAATCGTTCAATATGCTCGTCCTTAATATTTTCAATATGTCACTGTCTTGTAAAGCTTTACTTAAGCTATACACAATCTCAATACAAGTAGGTAGGATCCACTTTGTTTTATTAAGAATGGATATTCCTTTGTGAAGTTTATTCAAAGAGTAGATAATTGAAAACCATGTACTTATACAAAACATTCCACTTTATATCAACAACGGATTATGTAGCTTACAAAGACATATTGGAAATCACTTTTAAAAAACCATATGCTAACTTAATGGAAAGTTAACTCGATTTTTTATTTATAGACATTGCTTAGTAGACCCCTAAAATAAAACAATAAATATGATATTACTTAAACTCTGTATGTAAAAGATTGCTACTCTATTTTACCTTTGTCACAAAGACTTTAGTAGAAAAAAAACCTTTGTAACGCTTTTTTGTTTTAGAAAATACGAGTATCCCTATCATTTAATAAAAGAAAAAAGAGAATCTTAAACTTTAAGTGTTTTATTGCAATGATAACACTATGACTTTCGGATTGATGTAATTAATATGTAGGGCAATGCGCTTTTAGCGTAATCTTTTTTTTTTTAAAATTCTTAAGCTTTGAAGTTGTATATTATAGGTGGACGTATAACATTGTGGTGTATTCAACGGATACAAGATCATTTCGAGTGCATAACGGTCCAACTGAAACGGATAAGATTATCTCTCTCTCGAGTGTACAAGAGTTTAAATTACATTGAAAATGAAAATAAAAATACCATCCGAAAATCCTTGGATCTTCCAACTTTAACAAAGGTTCGGTTTATTTTGACGAAGCATTTTACATGTCGATACAATATTATTAAACATTTTTTATACAGCAGATTTGTGTTTTTATTAAATATATTGTTATATTATCCTGCTGCTGCAACATTCTTATAAAGTATGATTATTTGTGTAATATTCCCTGACATGTAATTGTATTAATATAATGATATGTATATATCTATGAATACGTATATGTATATTTTCCCCCTGACGTACTAGTACATATTTGTTATATCTGCTAGCATCAGTAATCGATTATTGTATTTTGAAAAATTTACCAATATTTGGAAATGTGAGAAAGTCTTAATGCTCACTTCCATAGCATAGGACACGTGTTCTCTAACTTGTTTTTTAATGGATAAAAGTTGTTTGTTGTATTTTTAAAGTAATCTTATTATTTACATTTTTTTTACATTAAAGTAACAAATACAATTTCTTGAGATACATTTCATGTAATGCGTGATCATCGCATTGTTGTCAATTTCAGGAATGGTCTCAAGTTAAACAGCTTGCACGGGATTGCCAAAATTCAAATGATATGATGAAATATACAGACATACTGTCTAGATATCAGCTAGATAAAAGAGTGGAATTGTTAAGAGATATATTAAAAGAGTTGGAAACAAAAAATTGATCGATTCATTTTTACAAGAAAGGAAAAGAATGGAATAAGACTGTTTTCTAAAAAGGACCAATTTAAAACACAAATAAGACATTTGTACTTTTTAGTTTTTTGAAGCAAACTCGAAGGCGATTTAATTCAAGTTTCAAGAGCTTGTTTTATAATCAAGCTTTAAATTAAATATGATAACACATTAAGACTGGGTTACAAATTGGCATACTTACATATTATTTGTATTCAGAAACTTTCTAATGTTTACACTTCTTGCATACAAAAACTATAAATGCTTTTGTTTTGTTATAAAATGTTAAGCTACTTGTAGCTTTGATATAATGATGATTGAAAGCTTTGTATATATTTGCATTGCGTTATATGAATTATGAATAAACGATAATAGATGTGTACGAGTAATGCATTTGTAATGGGTAATGGTTGATTAATTACTTTTTGTGGTTTTTGATACGTTTGTCATAATGCACTTTTGTTTTGATACTATTATAGATTACACATTTTTGACTGAGTTGCATATATGATGCTGTCTGGATTTGTTTTATCTGTATCAGTTTGTTAAATATTAATCAGAAAAGGGTATTATTTGAAGAAGTTTTTGATTCACACATAGCTAGCCTTCTTCTTAAGATGATAAGATAGTGCCCAAAATGGGCTCAAATTATTGAAACGCTTGAAATATGATGTAAGAATCACGCCAAGTAACATATACGTTACATCTATGTAACACATATGAGAGCTCTAACACTTAAAGCTACATAAGATAAAAAAGTAAACATATTTTTTCTGTCGGCTTAAAAACAAGCATTCTATAATTTTGTTAACATTTTTAGCAGTTTTGTTGTAAATCTCATTAAAAAGTGTTCATTTTAAAAAGAAAACCTACGGTAACACTAAAGTTCGTATACGAATTTTAACATGCAAATAAAGACTTGTATAATTAGTGTATGCGCTACGTCACAATGGTAAAATCAATTGTAACCATGCATGTGGATCACAGGAAATATGAGATATTCTTGGGCAAACAAACTTTTACCGTTTAAGTTTCCCGATGCATTGGCTCTGTCGTTTACAAAAAAAGTAATCATCTCATAAAATGATTGAATTTGTATGAAAACATCCGTTATATAATGCGGCAATATACCGTTAAATTCGGACTGCTATTCAAATATGTTTGTTGCTTTTTTTTGATGTACGGATGACCCAAAGGCAGAGTTTCTCATGCAAATAGAAATTGTACTACCGATTTCGCCACAATGAGGTTGTAGATTTATGGCTTATAAAACTCGTTTTAGGTGTCTGGACGGGAGTCGATATGAAACATATTTATGAAACATATTTAATTAACGAAATGTAGATATTTCTTTTTTATGAAATTTATTTTATGTAGCTTTAATATGACACACATCTATAATGAGATAAAAAAATTAACAATTAAGAACAAAATGCTCATTTACTCACTTTAATAGGAAAAAAATCTATAAACGCTTTGCTTATATCATTTGACCATCGGAGTCCCATAAATAATTTTTAAACATCTCATTACGGAAACAGTGAAATATGTTTATACAATGTGCGATTCAGAGCCATAATGGCTCATTTATGTAATTCATTCATAACAAAAGTAATTCACATTTACATAACAGTCATAGTTTACGATAAAATATCAACACATATGTTACAATAGAATCTATATTAATCTACAAAATGTACCAGCTGTGCATTCATTCCAAATACCTCATACACCATACATTCAAAATCATTCCTTACCCTTTGAATAAAAAATAGCAAGTACATAGGGAAACAAGGAAACAAAACATTCACATACACATCCATTTTAAATTCTTTTTATTAGTTTTATGTTTTAATTTACATTGTTTTATTGGTTTCATCCTTGTGTTAATATGAAACAGTGTTACAGTTACTCCTTTTTTGTCTGTGTTATTTAACTTTGCCATTTAACAATGTTATATCCTCTTCAATTTCTATTCTTTATAGCACAAAGTAATATGTTATGAAAATAATGATATAATTCTGCTACTGAAACATTATTTTTGATACTTTTAGATTGAGTCTATTCTATAAGAAACTTATATTGATACTTATAAATATTTTATATTTATATAAAACATACTGATTTCTTATTAGTTTTCACTTCATTGTGTTAACAATGATTGAAATTCAAAAAAAATGTTCAAAATGAAAAGTAATTTTGATTAAACATTGATATAATTGAAACTGTGTTTTGTATTGATTGTTCACACTAAGTCTTGCCGTTACTATGTTTTCTAATTAGCGTTTGCATATCCTGCAGGGCAGCGAAAGAATAATCCGAATTTTTAAAAGATAACTTCAAAAATGTAGTTGATTAAGAAACTTAAGTTATGACAAAAGCGATCCTTTTGACGTGGCGGCATAGCCGAATGGTTAACGCGTCGAACTAGTAATCTTTTGACAGCTAGCCGCATGGGTTCAAACCCTGTCAGGGCAAGTAGTTGATTCCTTGAACAAGAAACTTTACACTCCTTGCTCACTACTGGTTGGTTCCAGAAACGGATTCGAAAGTGTGTCTTTTAGCTTATAGCTTCCTACACAATCGAACTAAATAAATAATTAGATAAGAATAAGAATAAACCAATTCTTTTGGCGTTCTGACATGCAGCCTATATATATAAATTTAAGAAGTCCTCTAACGATTTCGTTAAGAAGTATAAGATAGAGAAGTAAGAACCTTAGAAATAGCCATGTCATAGCAAGTACAAAAGTAAATGGTACAGATTCGGAACAAATGTAAATTCTTCACGTGCCACTGTTAAGTACTGTTTTAATGAAACCAATGAATATTTGTTTATAGATAAATAAGAAGAAACACGAAAACTAGTTGAAAAGGTTAAAATAGTTTTATATGAGATTAAGCCTACTGTATGACTTTGTTTTGTAAGGGTTGCTACCTGTTATGTAGGTGTGGCCTCAAACCGGAAGTGACGTTCATATATCCATATGAAAGATATTGATTGTCCATAATAACGATATAGTGCAGTATTTCTCGCAACATGACTTACATTTAAGTACATGTTATGGATGAACTAACTACAAAATTCGCTGATGGTGATCCGTTTGTAGTCAACGTTATATGTTTGAACCTCAGCCACCGACATAATCCCTTTTTAGACGATCTCGGCGTCCCTAGCCCTTGTGCAGAATAAATTTTCAACCAATGAAGTGAATAGACTTATGAAAAAGAAACAGTAAACATTATTTACATGTTTTACATCCAATATAAAACGATCACTTTTCTTCAAATAAATATATTTTTTAAAACAATAACTAACCGATTCCAAGGATTTATACGATAAACCAGTTTATTTAAAGTGTCACAGTGCCGTCGGTTTATGTACGAAAGTCATCGTATACCCTTTTTTAGTAGGTCTTAAATTGTATCAATTGAAACTTATTTCAATAACTGACGAGCCCAAGCGATTCAAAATTACATTCAAAATCACGTGTCAACCCAGTTTGCAGTTTTGATTTTACAAGAATAAGCAAATGGAAAACAGAATGTTGGTAAAATTGATGAAGATATGAAATCATTATGATTTCCATTCAGATTTGATGATTTGCCTAAAATTTCATTGACCTTGGCCGGTGTGGTTATTGCAGTTCTATTTTTTTGTTAATTACCAACCATGAATAAAGGAATTATCTTTCGGAAAACAACTTGATTGGATTGCAAAATAAATGTATGGAAAGATCTGACTGCCCCCTAAAATATGTTGACCCCAAACACTTGTGAAAAACATAATCATCAAATGTCATTAATTGCGTAACATATTACGCATAAGGAGGACAGAACCTTTTGTTTAAACAGTTCTTAAATCACAGCGAAATAATTGTATAGAATGGTCACATATAAGACTAAGGGTCAAAGGAATCTTAAGTTATTGGGCAGACAAGAAAAAACCGACGAACAGCCGGACGGCCGGACGGACGGACAAGCTGATTCCAGTATACCCCCCTTACAACTTTGTTGTGCGGGGGTATAACAAAACAACAACAACAAAAAACAGAAAACTTGATACAATTAATCGATAAATACACCATAGCAGTTCTTTTGCTCGGTTCGGATAAATAAAGGACGGGATATCATTTTATTTATTAAGAAAGTAACTAAATATATAAAATTGTTTTCCATTCACCATAAATATGTGGAAAAGAACAGCTGTTTATGCTTTTGCATGTTTACATTTGACCAAAACAATATGATTGACACAACTTATTTCATCACTGTGACAGTGTTTGGTTGTGAAAAGTTTTAAGATCTTGCCTACGGACAAGTTTGAATTCGTGGAACAAAATATAAGCAATGCAAATCATCCACTAGTTAGTTAATAACCGATAAAAGATACAATCGAAATGCACTATACACATATCGATATGTTTGTTAACTACACAGATAGTAAATTTCGTAGAAAAATTCAATCAATGCGAGTCTGTTATATTTTTTCATTTGCTTTACCTCATCATTGCCTTTTAGGAATTTCGACTTCTGTTTGTATTTAAATCGTAGATAACTATGATGCATTGTAAGATTTTAGTACAAGATTATAAGACGTAATTGCTATGTGGGGTTAAAGTTGAAACATATTGTTTGTGTTTTTAGTGGTGAAAATGTGCATCCTTATGAAGCCCTCATAAAATACAGAGAACACTCTGGGAATTCAGAAGTTAGACTGGTTGTATGTGCAATGAATGCTACAGATCTCACTTTATCAGATCAGGAGGATCCTTTAGTGTTGGATATTGTCGGGGTTGACGCCAACGCCCCTTGGATCATATCGGAATTCGCAAAAGGACATATATAAGACAAAACACATCATAAATCATGGCCTTCTTGTATCATATACTGTATATACTTTTACGTTACTTTCATTGATTGTTTTAGTAACAATGTACCCACATATGAATAGTTTGGCACAAAACCTATGTTATTGTAAAATAAGGTAAAGGACTTCTACTTATTGATTATCTTGTTTTGTGATATATTTGACTGCTGCCATGAATTCCTCGAAGGCAATGTAAAGTTCCACATCTTTAATGATATTGCTGTTGAAAACGTTGGATTTCATTAGATTGTGTTTACATTTGTATTATTCATATGCACAGCATCGGCAAATTGTAAAATGACTTCTTGTAACACCAAAGAAGACAGTAACAAGTATAATATTAGTCCGCTATAACGAAAGCTGATAAGTACTTTGGCTATGTACAAATGGCTATGTACTCCGCGTTGAAATCAGACCAAACAACTTATTAAAAATCTTTTTACTAATTAATTAACTTCCCTAAAAGTCAAGGTTTTGCTATTGTTTATAATATAACATTGATTCATTTAGATTTCTCAACATACCGCTTGGTTAGTCGGGTTTGAATATAGTACTCAGTGATAAAGAGTGTGTGTTATAACATTTGTTAACACGGGATTTTACTATTCTTATATGTACGAAGGACCGGGAACTGTACATTCTTACCAGCATTTGACAGTACAACCATAATATTAAGATTTGTATAACAAAGTTTTTTAATATTTTGCCGTACATGTGAATTAGGGACCAATAAAACGGAATGATAATTAGTCAACGATATCAGTATATCAATTGTTTATTTGAATATTTGATCTTTTATTCGCTATAATTTAGTTGTTTTCTACTATTTCGTGATCTTTGT